ACCTCTCCAAATTAATTTCTGCAACGTTTTCTATCTCAAGTTCACTGAATCTAAACATTTTAATTTTTCAATTCTTTGTATTTACATGTGTTTGTGTTTATTTTTGCATGTGCTAGCTCCTCTCTGGAAACCCTTTCATGTCATTAGATTTTCCACTACGCTTATCTTCACTCTCAATTTAAGCTCAGACTTCCTGGGGTCAATGTTATAGATCGTGTAATTTCATTGTTACACACTCACACATAGACTCAGCATCCTCAAAGTCCTCCAATTACATTTTTGGAAACAGTGCTAGTTTTTGAACCAAGGCTTCCCACACTTTTGCCCCTATCCCAACTCCTTTCCTAATTAGCACAGTACTTACTTTCCCACCTCGAATAGGGCAAAGCCACAGAGGAATAGCAGAGGAAAGGGACAGACATGGGCAAAAATTAAGATGTGTTATGCGCATGTGCAAATTCTCCACGATGAATGTGGTTGTGGTGTACTGCAAACATGATACTTGTACAATGTGATCACAATACCTGACATAGCACATTTAATTTTTCATTCTAATCCTGTTCTTGGCCACAAGATCAACACATGCATAATGAAGCACATAAAACAGAACAGGTTCAATCTCCCGGCCTGCTGCGCCGGGCTCGCCCCCGGGGTGCACTGAGATGGCAATTGAGATTGGGCATGGTGGAGCATGCCTGTAATCTCAGCTCATGGAAGGCTGAACACAAGAGGATCGCTACGAGTTCGATCTACATAGTATGACCCTGTAGACCCTGTATTAAAATACAAAACCAACAGAACACATGGGCAAATGTGAAAATCTCCAAGCTTTCTCTTTTATTCTTCTTTTTAAATCCCCAATTCCAAGACTGGGTGTGGAGGCGCGCGCCAGCTCTTGGGAGGCTGTAAACAGGCGGATCATTACGAGTCCGGTCTAGTAGTGAGACCCTGAACACCCTGTAGGCCCTTCCCTAAAAAAAAAAAAACAAAACAAACAAACAAGCAAGCAAACAAATAAATAAATAAATCCCCAATCCTGGTGATTGAAGTCAAGCCTTACATATGTGAAGCAGGTGCTGTACTGCTTCCTCAGCCCTTTTGCTTTCCTATTCTGAGGTTTCACCAAGTCCCCTACACTGTACCAGCCTTGCACTTGCAATTCTTCCTTCTTAGCCTCTCCTATGATATTCCACTTTCAAAAAGAGCAAGTCATCCTGCTTACAGCCTTCCAGAGCCTTCCTTTGACAACCTGTACAAAACCCAAGCCCTCACACAGCTCCTCTGAACTTGCTGCTTTCCTTTGAACTCATGTCCTTCAGAGCTCCGCTCAATCACTAAACCTTGAGTTCCAGGCACATTGGTCATTTTTTCGGTCCACATAAGTGTCAAAGGCTTGCTGTCACTTCTCCGAGAGTTCCAAGTGTCATCACTTCCTTACCATTCATGTCCTGATTCAAATTCCACTTTCTACAAGGGATTTTTCTTGATTGAGTCAACCAAAGCTCTTGATTCTATCCAACTGCATTTTGCAGTCTTTTCCAGAAATTCAGGAGCACATTGCATAACTTCTGTTATTTACAAGATTGATATATTTCTATGTCCAAACGAAGACAGAGACTTGCCTATCGTTTTCTGAAAAATGTCTTCTGCAGCTAGAATAGTAGCACAGAGTAAGTCTTCCATAAATGCTAACTGAATTATTTTGGATATGCAGGTCTAAGTTCATCAAGACTTAGAGATGCTAAAAAGGCTTTCAAGAAGATTCCAAGATGTCAAAGCAAAAGTGTAGTTTTCTAAATGTATCTAGCGACCTCTACTGGAATGCTTACCACAGAAATCACAGACCAGGCCTCCCTTGTTCCTCATTGCCCTCTTGCCTCTTCATCGAATAGCAAAAAAAAAAAAAAAAAGCAAGTATAGGTGTGCAGTTATGGATCTGGGTTTTTTGAGCATTCTCTTGCCTTAGAGCAACCCATTCCCTTTGTGCCCTATCACTTGTTATTTTGCAATCTGCTTATTCATGAAGCATAAATCATAGGGCAAAAAATTTGGAAAGCAGAGGACTTTCTCTGATTCCTTTCCAGATCTTATTGCACAAATGACTGCTTTTTTCTGAAAAGATATATAAACAGTGAAACTTCAGAGTGAGAACCTGAGGAGCTGACGATGCAAACACATTTCCTGTGATGGTGTTTATTTCCCCTTCTGTTGACTGAAGAAGCAATTTTGCAAAGAGTATTTAACACTAAAAAGTGAAGCACTGGCAGAGGCTGTCCTCATGTTGAGAATAACAGTTTCACAAGTTTCAGAAAAGTTTCATAAGTCGGCACTGAGGGATCACTAGGAGGCCACGCGTTGCTAAGAATGCTGTCACTTGACATAAAAAAAAATCAAGTGAAAAAACAGGACCAGGAATTTCAAGAAGATCAAAATAATAAAAGAGGAAATCTGTGAAACATCATGAAGCGATATGATTGAAGTTTTGCAAGCTGTTTTGCTTACCATGTGTGTTGTGTGCATCTATCTGCCTGTGGATGTTGAATATTGCAGAAAATTAATAGAACACAAGTCAAATTGATCACAAAAATGATTCAGCATAATCACTTCTCCTTAAAGTAATTCTTATAAAATGTTTAGTATAGAGCTTTCTAGAAGTTTGTTTAGTCTATTCTAGTGTTTTATTCAAATGCATCACAAGTAAAAGTGTTTTATATATGTGCATATACATATATAAGAAATTGATTCAGTTAATTTTACTTTATATCTTTTTTTTGCTCCAAATGCCTTCAGGGCAGGTTTGGCTGGCTGGAGTGTTGTGGGGATCGAACTACAGCAACCTGAGGCTGACAGCTTTGTGGAAGCAGCCACTTAAAGAACTGAGCTAGGGCCAGGCCCCCAATCTTACTTTATATCTTTATCATTTTCACTTAGCATTATTAAACATATTTATTGACTTAAAATCAATTTTCCCAAAAATGTTTTACATAATTAGGTATTTGAACTGGTAATACATATGTGTAGTAAAATGCAGAAAAAAAATTTAAAGTAACCTCCCTTTCACTCTTTTCATCTCTAATGATAACTGCTACCAGTAGGGGAAGGATTTAATTGGCCATTATATACATTATAAATAAGGCTTTACATTACTAATGTGGTTGGCATTGCATCCCTTGTATAAATTACTTCCTTCTTTTTTTTAGTAAGAAAACTAAAGGTTAGTTAAAAAATTGGCTCGAGGTTACATAGAAGATAAGTGGCTAACGGAATTTGATTTCAGACCAAGCACCAGATACCAAGCACCAGAGCGAAATCCTCACTCTGGCGGAGGTTGGGCAATCTGGATCAGCCATGACGTGGCCTGTTCAATCCTGGAAGGACCAGGATACAGGCTGCTGAGATGAAAGAACATGAGTTCAAGACTCTGTCATCTCCATCGTTCCTTTCTCTCTCATCAATGCATTCTTCTGTTTGATTTCATTGGAACTTTATTTATAGAACCCTTGGAAATGAAGTCAACACAAACACACCGTGATGTAATAGAGGTTGTCGCCGTGACAATGTGGCCTGTCTTTGCTATTTTAGTGCTTTTTTCAAATAGTCTTATAAACTTTTCTCACAACCCAAGCAAATGGATAATAAACTGCATATTCAAACTTACACTTATAGATTAAGCTAAGACTCAACGTGTCACTTAATCATAGAACACATTTACTATATTTTTTATTCTTTTTGCAGTGTCAGGGATTGAACTCAGGACGCTGCACTTGCCAGCCAGGCGTTTATTCTACTGAGCTATCTCCCTAGCCCACAGTTACTGTATTTGATGTATCTATATTTATTAATATCACATAATGAAATATAGTTTTATGTATCTTGAGTTAAAAATAAGCTTAAGTCAATTAGACCAACTATATGGAAAGTGGCTGAAGACCTAATAAAAAGTTCTAAAATAGTATTAACAAGTAATGAATTAAATATTGATTATCTATTAGAAACCTTACATAATCTGAAGTACTAGGGATCAAACCCAGGGACCCCACGTGGTAGGCAAATGCTCTACTAATGAGTTCCATATCCTCGGTCCTTCTCTACTTTATATTTTGAGACAAGGTCTTGCTAGATTTCCCAGGCTGGCCTCAAACTCACAACCTTTTTGCCTCAGCTTCCTAAGTAATTGGAATTATAGGCCTATGTCACTATATTCAGCTTAAATTATATTTGGAATGAGCTTCAATTTGGGTGCTGAAGGGTATAATGGAAAACTATTGACTAGAGGCTAAATCTGTAAAATAAGACAGCATGCCCTTATTCCTTTTAGGAGTAATATATGGTTTTATGTTCATAATATATTGGCACACAATAAAGCAAATACGCGTCAAATTTCTTGGGAGGATTTATTAATACTGGTGATATTCCTCAGCCTATGTTCTTTGCAATTTTTTTCACGGTTAAATACTTTCACATCCTCTGAATTTTTCTACATCAGTTTGATAACACGAGGTAAATTTACAAATGGGACTAAAATTAATTTCTAGCACCCCATTCAACTAGGGACTGATATTCACTGATCTGTTAAAATTACATTCTTTAAAAACAATACCCAAAGACACACTGAGATTTGTGCTTTCTCATATGGAGAGAAAAAAAAAACTGTTGAGTTATTAAGCAAAGGAAAATCCAGACCTATGTTTATCATCAAAATTCAGTTTGTACATGTGGAAGAAAATAATGGGATATATATTTTTAAAGCTCCAAAACAAGGCATCAGAAGAAAGAGAGTGACAAACCTGAAAGAATTTAAAGATAGAAACTCATCTCAAGCAGTTCTACACCAATCCAGTGTCACTTGAAACTGTATGAGGGAACTTGTTAGCACTGGGTCACTCTAGATGTGATGAAATACACACTGGTGATGGCGTGAGGCTGGGAATTTGGTCAAAAGGACATGGGTAAAGGGCTGGCCTTGCATTATGTTCTGCCTACCCCAGGGGTGGCTGCCTGGCCAATCCTAGGCCAGAGGATTTCACTCCTTGCTCTGCGTTGTTCAGGCAGATAGCAGTTAAGGCTATCGTCCTCCCTGACCTGCCCAAAAAGATTGCAGAAATTGCTGCGATTTCTCCTTCCCCTGGGAGCTCTTTTGGAAGCACATGAAATTTCATTCTCCAGTGTTATTCCCTATAAGAATCTACCAAAGCTCCACACCCACCAGCTCTAACCCTCTGTGTCTCTGTTCAATCTCCTGGAATTCTAGCCAACGGAAAAGGACACTCAACAAGGTGTCAGAGGACTGGAAGGAGAATGCTTCGAGGTCGATCCCTATCTGTGACATCCCTGAGTGGGTTTCCTCAGTGGGAAGCCGACAAACTTCCTGTGGAGGACTTATTGCTCTTTGAAATTTCTTGGGAGGTGACCAATAAAGGTTTGTACCATTTCCTGGGTTGCTAACACATGCAGATTAAGGACTTTAGTGATTGTGAGTTATCAGCAATTGAGGACAGCGTTGAAACAGAATCTTGTATGTTGAGGTTACACTGAATATTGTCTTTTTCAACGGGGAAGGAAAAGTTAAGACTTGTGAAGATATTTAAGAGGGAGAAAGCTGAAAATATTAGTGATTGCCAGAGAATGTGAGATTAAGCTAAAAGTTTAAATCCATGTTTTAACAAAATGGAAATGACAAGCTTATGTGTTTTGTTTTATGATTTTTCTTAAAGATTCATAATTAAGTACTTTATTTTAGGAAAAGCTGTATGGATCAGGACCAATTAGAAACTGTAACTCTACATTTTTTAAGTGAGTGTGTGAAATATTTAGTGATCAAGATTAATATGAAGTTAAAGGTCTTAATTCAGAGGCTACTCAGAAGATATAATATTGCAATTCTCTCTTCAATGCTGGGTGTATGTAGAAATCATACAATATGAAAGGAATCAAACTGGTCAAAATAAAATAATTTCGTATTAAGATATAACTTCATCTGTGCCAGCTGGAGAAGCCAACCTAAATGAATTTAATTTTTAAAACAATCCCTGTATGTTAATAATCTCTAGTTTAACCATGTAAGATATCAATGGAATATTAATAAAGAAAAGGTTACGCTTCAGAAGCCTGAACTCTTCAAGATCATGAATGACTAGGATTAGAGACCAAGGGGTAAAAAGTAATGGCAATCTGTAATTTGGAGGGTCTGAAATGTTAGCATGATATAACACCTGACTTCTTTTGGTCAAAACAGAACCAACGTATTCTCAAAATTAGAATTGTATTTGGCCTCTGCTCTGATTTTGAGATCTGTTTCAGTTCTCCTGTGTAGGCATTTGTAAAATTTCTAACAGCAAAATTAACAGTCCTTCCTGCTTGTGCAGTGTGCAGAAGGCTCTTGGGAATCCAGAGTCCTGTCCTCCTCCCTACAGTCAGTCAGAAAGAGCAAAAGTGACAGAAAACTTAGGACAGAGGAGAGTATTTTACTAGTAGCTCTTTCTACAGTCCTTTTACTGGTTATAGTTCTTTGTCCAGTTTTTAAATATCCCGTAAGCTCCCGGTACTCCTCTCCTGCATTTGAGGCCCAGTGTACCTTGACATGAAGGTTTTCTCTACAAAGGAAAGACTCAGGACCTATCTAATCTATGGGAAACCTTTGTGGGTGGGAGTACCTTTAGCAATGAATATCAGCCTTTAGGATCATTGCACAGGTTCCTACCCATTAGCAGAGTCCAGCCTTTTTCCTAACTTTCTCTCCATCTAGAACAGAGTAGAACATAATGGGAACAGTGACAGTTGTTTTCTCATGAGCCTTAACACCGATGATGTACACGGTCATGTAAGATGGGTGTAGAGAAGATCCTAGAACACAGTTCAAAGGATTAAAAAAATTTTTTTGTGTGTGTCTTTTTGAGATAGAGTTTCACTTTCAGTTTAGGCTGGCCTTGAACTCACTCCTGCTTCAGCCTCCCAAGACTAGGATTACAAGACTGTGCCACCAGATGGAGAACTACTGTGTTTTTCCTTGACATTTTGCTACTGTAGTTTCATTTTAAAGTTTGTTTTGGATTTATACTCCCTGAAGTTCATGGGCATGCTATGAGGCATGCCAGCGATCATGAATTTAATTCCTTCATTTAGCAGATGAAATGGGTTGAGAAGGGATTAAATAATCATCAAACTCTGATGGGCTTTTCAAAGTCCAAGTCTTTTTTGACACTATAGAAGAATTAACTTCTTTTTTTGGGGGGGGGTATGAGGAATCAAACTCAGGACCTTGTGCTTGTCAGGCAGGTGTTTGTGCTGCTGGAATACATTCCCAGCCCCAGAACTAACTCTTAAAACCACTGTGTAAGGATGTACTATATACATAGAAAAAGTCTAGCTTGCAGTTAAATGTCAGAGATTTATGAATCTCTGTAAAACAAACTTAATAAGAATCCAAATATCAGTTTTTTCATGACTAAAATTAATACATAGTAGAATGCCCTCCTTTACAGTGTTCTGTGATAAACAATGGAATGTATTCACAGCCAAACAAACAAAAAAGCAGTAAACATTTCCTAGAGAGAAAAACTCTCTCACTGCTAGGACTTTGCATTGCCAATGAATAATAAAAATATGATCAGTATAAGAAATAAGGAGTCACAGTTAAATTACTGGAGGTTAATTCCAGGACTTCAAAATAACCTTTTCCAGTTGTTCATATGAACCTGAGATGTACTGCTTTTTATCCATTATCGCTTTTTTTCCATAATTTTATTGAGAAAGAAAGATGATATTTTTCCCCATAATTTTATTGAGAAATAAATAGCAATGAGACAGTTTCAAACCAAATTGGTAGGACAGTTTCAATAATTAACGTTCTTCCTAGTGGTTAATTGCTGTACAAGATGCGGACATGATATCCTATTTACAAACACCATTAGAACAAACCCTCTATTCATTAAGAGAATGTAACTATATATCTATCCTAACCACTTTGAATACACAGATACAAAATGGACATTCATCTGTATCCCCTTTTCTTGTTTAGTTCCATTATTTGAATATTATAGGTGTGTTAACTCAGCAAAATATTCTAAAAGAGCATTATTCCTTTTTAATCAACATCCAGCTGTTATTCAGTAAAAATTCATCAAAAGTCTACTAGGCATCAGCACTGGAAGACAGGGGAGACAAAATTTGCCAAAATAACAATGATTTCCAGATGTCCAGAATTTAGACTTGTAGGAAGGTGGCCATGGAATGGGTGTTATAGTCAAATGCAATGTGTACAAGGCTAAGAGAATAAGATGCTTGAGGGTTGTCCAGCAGGGTATTAGTGGAGATAGTGGTGGTGGGCTTCTAACCTAGTTTAGGGTGACAGAAAACCTCTTCAATGAGGAGACATTCGATCTAACAGCTGAAGGTAAAAATCTCTGTGGCAAAGATGAAGGTGGGGACGATAAAGAGGAACAGGGATCTATATGAGAATTGTGGCCCCAGACACATTGGTGAGGATGCTGTCACGCAAGGTGTGTCCTGTTCAGAGTCTGGGGAGAGTTTGGAGGGGGAAGAGGGGAGGAGAATGAGGGAAGCTCGGAGAGCCTTGGTGGGGCCAAACTAGGATGCTCTCCGTGAACTATTAGCTGTAGTCTATGAGCCATGAATGGGAGGCTGTTGAGTTCTAAGCAGTGGGAGTGCTGAATGTCTGATGTGGTTTTGCAAAAGTACAATTCTAGTCAGAGGAAATAAAAAAGCCTGTGACAGGGGCTTGGGTAAAGAATTTTGCCTACATGTTGGGGGAAAAAAATGTTTTTATTCTCTTTGCTCGGGCCTTACCACAGTGATTTCCTCTTCACAGACTTGATCAAATCATTGAGACTTTTATCATGTTGAGGATATTTAGGATTATTAAAAAAAGTTTAATACAATCTGCCACAATGAATATTAATCAAGAACTTTCAAAGCTTCTGAAATGTAGTTCTTTAATAGATTCTTCCTTCTTAAAGTAGATTAGGCATAATTTGTTTTACTTCTAAACTAGCATATAGCTGGATGTAATAATTTCACAAGCCCTTTCCTAAATTGGATGGCACACCTCTAGGTCCCATGCTTGAAAGACATACTGAAGAAGTAAGAAAACTATAAACAAATGGTAACTTCAAATCCAGAATTTGTAAGCAAGCATTTTAAAGGAGAGAACTTTGACCTAAGTGAAGCTCAAAGGGTTGGCAAACTCTTATAAATTTTGTCTGAAAAACATGCACCCATGTGTGTAGGAGTCTTGTCTGAGAAGACCACATCCTTTCATCAGATTTTCAGATGCCTCTGTGACTGATAAAGCTCTAAGTTGACTTCCTTATATACTCTTCTTGTTTTGGGTTTTTTTTTTTTTTAAATGTATTTGGTTGTTACAGGGTCTTACTACACAGCTCAGACTCATAGTGATCCTCTTTCCTTTGTATCCCCTTTTTTTGTTTAGTTTTGTCAGAGAAGAGTATTCCATTGTCATTTAAATATTGTAGATGTGTGAATTCAGCAAAATAATCCAATATAGTCCAGTAGTCCATATAGTAGTGGGCTATCCATAGGACTGGCAATGTCAGAAGTTGGTGACTTGAACCCTTTACAGCTAAGCATATTAATATGGCTCTACTTTTTATACCTCATTTTTATACTTTTCTGCTGGATGGTTAAAACCAAGAAAAAGTAAGATCTATATAAAAAGAAGTATAACTTTTGTATCTGACAAGGTCAGTCAAATTCCCTCAGGATTTATCCTGAAACTCAGTACTACAGTTTGTAGATCCTTTGTCAGTGTCAGCCATGTGGATGAGTTCCAGCCATTGCTTGGCCAATGTGCTCCTCATGAAAGCCTGAGAGAATGTTTTCTCTCCATGTGACTCTCCTTAGGCACACTCTACATCATCGATCACTTTCCTCTGTGGCCCCATAATCTCCTTGATTAGAAAATTTGGGACACCACCGAGTTACAGGATGTTACAGTACAGGTTCTCCTATTTCCTGAGTCCTCACTGACCTTGAAAGACTAGGGCCAAAAAGTTGGTTGTCCTTGTCGGCCTTCTTTTTCTGTAACTTTTGGTCTGCAAATTTAGGCTATTGACCCTCCAGAAGAGAAGCTTATTATTATTACCCTACAGCCTAGGCAGTTGAGCTTAACCTCACTATCTGTCTGAATATCAAACATTTAGGCATAACATGGAACAGATATTTTCCATCAAGCATTGATATATTCAATTAGGCATAATGTGAGGACAATGGACAATCCATTGCCCTACTAGTATTCACTTTTAGTATGATTTTGTGCTTTTATTATTATTTATTTATTTATTGTATTTAGGGAAGGGTCTACAGGATGTTCAGGTTCTCATTACTACATTGGACTGGTAGTGATCTGCCTGTTTACAGCCTCCCAAGAACTGGGATTACAGG